CCACGTTACTTGAGACATTGATAAAGAACCCTGCCCACGTTACCTGAGACACTGATAAAGAACCCTGCCCACGTTACCTGAGACGTTGATAAAGAACCCTGCCCACGTTACCTGAGACACTGATAAAGAACCCTGCCCACGTTACCTGAGACGTTGATAAAGAACCCTGCCCACGTTACCTGAGACACTGATATAGAACCCTACTCACGTTATCTGAGACACTGATAAAGACCTTGCCCACGTTACCTGAGACGTTGATAAAGAACCCTGCCCACGTTACCTGAGACGTTGATAAAGAACCCTGCCCACGTTACCTGAGACACTGATAAAGAACCTTGCCCACGTTACCTAAGACATTGATATAGAACCCTACCCACGTTATCTGAGACACTGATAAAGACCCTGCCCACATTACCTGAGGCATTGATATAGAACCCTACTCACGTTATCTGAGACACTGATAAAGACCTTGCCCACGTTACCTGAGACATTGATAAAGAACCTTGCCCACGTTACCTGTGTTTGAAGTCAGGATAAATCATTCTGTTAGGGAAACCTTTTCTGCAGATTCGGATACCTTCCAGTACACCGTTACAGGTTAGCTGGTGCATCACCAAGTGAGAGTCGATTACACCTAGAGGGCGACACCGGTTAATGTAGGTTAGAACCATGAGGTTAACTTCGGATGCGAACATTACTTGATTTTAGGTTAATATAAGTATTAATACTTTAGTTTTCTTTAAGTGGGTATTACATAATACTTGTTAGTTCTTCCTTGGATTTGGAAGCATATTATAGAGAGGAAGAAATGAATTAGGTAACAAAGTTTATTCTACCTATTCTTAACTATAAAATCACTTCGTCTTCCTACACCCTATCATTGATTATCGTCTCTCACACCTTAACACTAATTATCGTCTCTTATACCAGTTATTACCTTTCATAGCATTTAACAGAAACATAAAAAACGAATCCAGAAATAGAGGGCGAACGAAACCAACCTGTTTTTATTAGAAAGACGTGTTATGTTCTTACACCATAAAGGCTGGACCATTTTACTCTCTGCCTACTTACCATTTCATTTGAGATGATACCTCGTACAAAGTTGGTCAATAACTTGTTCAGTTGCTGGTGTGGTAAAATGCAAATCCATCAGCAGTATAGAACAGTTAGTTGAGCGCTGAAAGCAACACACTAAAAGAAGCAAAACATAAAAAGTTAGAGCACGAAACACTATTAGCATCAAACAACTGGTTATGTTGCTAGGTAACGCTTGTTTTAGTTCACAGCACTAGCGCACCTTATGTTTGTTGGTGTTAATGGAAAAAAAAATGGTACGATAATTAACTTAACTGGTTGAAGTGTTAGTTGTTAGTTATACGTCTACATTTAGAGGCAGTAGTTAATAGTTAAACATGTTAATTTCATTTAGTCAGAGAGTTGACTTACTCTTCTGGGGAACCTGCTATGGATAAGGTGAAATTTACCTGTAGGACTTTCAATGCAAGGTTCGAATCTCGTGGTCCAGGTGATCTGAATATGAAGAACTTACAGCAGAAACCAGGGAATTATAAAAAAATAAATGTTGGCATTGTTACATAGCACCAGTTTGGTGGCCTCCTCTGCTGTAACACAGCATCAGTTTGGTGGCCTCCTCTGCTGTAACACAGCATCAGTTTAGTGGCCTCCTCTGCTGTAACACAGCATCAGTTTAGTGGCCTCCTCTGCTGTTAC